GTAAAATCTCAATTAAATATTCAATAAAGATAGAGGCATGGCCTCACCATTAATATTAAAAAAAAAAAAAAATAAATCTCAAAATTCAAGAAATATTTAGAACTCTTTTTAAAATATATAACAAAACAAAGATAGTATCAAAGAAATTGAAAATCTTACAAATATATCTAATACTAAAATAGATAAATTAGTAATATAACATATATAATATAAAACTAATTTTATTATTAAAAATAATATATAAATATATAATTAAAATTTTAATAAAAGACTAACACATTAGTACAGAATTCGCATTACACTCTCTTCTGCTGTTTTCTCGACCAAAATTTCCAAGAAGCAAACTACAAGAAATACGAAAACTAACACTAGGAAACAATATTTGGAGCTCTAAGAAAAGTTAAAGAGCTCCAAAAGTTATACTTAGTTGTTAAAAAAAAAAAAAGGAAAAAAAACTTGAAAAAATTGCACTGTCAACAAACAACAGTAGAAAAATGAAAATTTTCATCAAAAATTTTACAAAAATTTTGTAAAAAGTGGGGATTGTCGTTACCTTGTTTCTGCAGATCAGTTTGGTTACACAAAGCAAAAAAATCAAAACAAAGTAAACAAACAGGTACACATAATAGAATAGATGACCAATCTGAAAAACAGATCTAGATAAACAAAGAAGGTTTTAGAAAAAGTGAAATGGAATGACAAAAACAAGTAGCAAAAAGGAGAAGTAAAAAGAAGAAAAAGAAAAAAAAACAAGTAAAAGAAATTAGACAAGTGGAAGAACATGAAAAGGCAAACAAAAATAAAAAGAAAACAGAACCTATAATAGTGACATCCATCCAAGCAAAAGATTTTTCATTAATTAGCAAGTATTTTGGTAGAATTTTAACAATACAAGAACTAGATAGACTCAAGAAGATGCATAATCTATGTGTAGAATTAGAGGCAAATGGTGCACTAAGTAAAATGAAAAACTTAATTAAAGCACAGTATGGGCCAATAAGTATGACAACATTAAAATTTGAAAGAATACTTGAAGTAGGTTGGAGTAACAGAATGACGAAAATATGTACTCTAAAGTAAAAACACCATGTAGATGCAATAAAGAAAGAAATTGTTGCAAAATTTCAAAAAGCATTAAAAAAAGAAAAAGTCAAGCTTTGAAAGGAGAAAAAGAAAAAAAGAAGAGTCCAAGCACAGCAATCAATGCATCAAATGATGAAGAAAGAAATTACGATGAAACAGATTGTAGATAGAAGTAGACAAAAACTGTGGAAAGTACTAGAAGAGCTGAAGGAAGAATCAAGACCGAAAATTAGCTGGAAGAACATCGAGAAAATAGCTATCTTGAGGTTCAGGAACAAGACAGAAAAGGTTACAAGTGAAAGAATATGCAAGAAAAGTAATAAAAGGCTATTTGATTAAGAAGCTGAGAGGCATGGAAAAAAAAGAAAAAGAAAATCGTTAATGCAGATTGGTGGATGCAAAAAAAGAAGTACATAGATAAGTTGCAAACAGAAAAAGAGAAAATAGAAAGAAGTAATCTAAAAATTCTGATAAAGAAACCTCAAAAGTTTGGCCTATCGCAAGTAAAAGCAAAACCGAGAGAACAAGAGGAAGAAGAATGATCAACAGAAAACAAAAAAGTAATAAAAAAGGATCATTATGGAAGAATACTCTCTGCTGGTGACAGAAGAAAATAGATGTCAATCAAAAAACTAAAGATCAAGAGAAGATAAAAGAAAAGAGAAGATTAGGAAGAGCAAAGAAGAAAAGAAAAAGATGAAGCAAAGAAGTATTTGGATGGAAATACTGAAAAAAGAAAAAGAAAAAGTTACAACTAGGAGGGTTTTGTAGAAGTAAATTAGATAGAGTATATAGTCTACCCAATAGAAAGGTCACCAAGAGCATAGTGGTTAAAGGTTTAGCCCTGACTGCAAGTGTTGGTCACAACCATAGCATAGCTCAGATGATCAATTATAGTTCTCTTTATAAAATTTTTTTTAATTCGAGGCCATTGTATGGCCTTACTGACAGATCTGGTATCGCCCCTGGGTGTTAATCTTTGTCCAGCCAGTGTGGCAGACCACTCTTGGGCACTCTTAGAAGCAGTTGAGGAGTGTTGGGCCAAAATTTAAGCCAACTTCATGCAAAGTTGTGTATGCAAGAATCTTAATAAAAGTGACCAGCAAGGCTGCCAAAGAATAAAAAAAAAAATAAAAATAAAAATAAAAAGACCAACAAAAGTGAATTTTATAAGTTTGCTAAAAAACTTAATAGAAGAACCAATTCATATTATAAATATAATAATAAAGGATATAAAAGATAATAACAAAGAGCTTTGAAAATTACTAATAAGAAATAAACTTTTTAAGAACTCTTTCTGTAGATCACTTTTACAAATTCTTGCTAAAAACATTTGATCTTTTCTTAATAATTTACTAAGCAAACCTTACTTGTGCTCTTAAGTAAAGTTGTCTAGCTCATTTTTCTCATCCTAGCCAGCTGGGTTTTAAGTCTAAAATCTCCTAACTACTGAAAAAAGTTCCAAAAACTAAATCTTTAGTTTTTGTTTCTTTTCTAAAAACTTTACTAATCATATATACTTTGCTGCCTATTAGAAAAACATTTAGCTCATCAAGGTGATAATTTTAATATATATTTGATTACAAACAGACCAGAACTTATCAAAATACATATAAAAAGGCAAAAACTAAAACCTGTCTTTGCAGGTTTTTTTATTGGCAATTTTAGGAAAATCTATTGGGTTGCACTGGAAAATTCACTTTTCTGGTACCTATTAAAACTTTCTAAACATCCAGCAGGCTCTCACATTTGTTCTACATCTTTCGAAATTCTCCTAAACATCTTAAAAGTTTTTGTAATTAAAAATTTTTTTTAGAAACTAGTAATAACAAATCAGTTTGTACTACTTTAAGGCTACAATCTAGTTACCTCAGTCTATCCAATATGCCTACTCTTAGAACTGTAGCACCTGATACTCTAGACCTTGATTATTTCTTTGAAAACTATACTGGCTCTTATAGAATTGCTATTTATGAAAAAGAACCAAAAAATGTTAGAGCTATTTCTAACAAATACAAGCCAGCTAAATGTGTTACTATGGAATTGAGAACCCATCTAGCTAC